ATTATATATGATTTGCAGTCATTTTCTCCCAGTCAGTAGGTTGCCTTTCCATTGTGTTGATGGTTTCCTTTGCCATGCAGAAGCTTTCTAGTTTTACATAGTCCCCTTTGTGTTATTATACTTCAGGTTTAATGAATGAATTGGATCTATATGTGTTAACATGGTTACTAAAGTATTCCCAGATATGTTTCATGTTAGTTTTGGAAATTTTTATGTGTATAAATTCAGAAGTACTCATTTTGTGAATATATAGCTAATTTGTATATGCAATTTTTTTTCATTTATTTTTATTAGTTGGAGGCTAATTACTTTACAATATTGTAGTGGTTTTTGCCATACATTGACATGAATTAGCCATGGATTTACATGTATTCCCCATCCCAACCCCCCCCCAACCTCCCTCTCTACCCGATCCCTCTGGGTCTTCCCAGTGCACCAGCCCTGAGCACTTGTCTCATGCATCCAACCTGGGCTAGTGATCTGTTTCACCCTAGATAATATACTTGTTTCGATGCTGTTCTCTTGAAACATCCCACCCTCGCCTTCTCCCACAGAGTCCAAAAGTCTGTTCTGTACATCTGTGTCTCTTTTTCTGTTTTGCATATAGGGTTATCATTACCATCTTTCTCAATTCCATATATATGTGTTAGTATACTGTAATAGTCTTTATCTTTCTGGCTTACTTCACTCTGTATAATGGGCTCCAGTTTCATCCATCTCATTAGAACTGATTCAAATGAATTCTGAATGGCTGAGTAATATTCCATGGTGTATATGTACCACAGCTTCCTTATCCATTCGTCTGCTGATGGGCATCTAGGTTGCTTCCATGTCCTGGCTATGATAAACAGTGCTGCGATGAACATTGGGGTGCACGTGTCTCTTTCAGATCTGGTTTCCTCAGTGTGTATGCCCAGAAGTGGGATTGCTGGGTCATATGGCAGTTCTATTTCCAGTTTTTTAAGAAATCTCCACACTGTTCTCCATAGTGGCTGTACTAGTTTGCATTCCCACCAACAGTGTAAGAGGGTTCCCTTTTCTCCACACCCTCTCCAGCATTTATTGCTTGTAGACTTTTGGATAGCAGCCATCCTGACTGGCATGTAATGGTAATGTTGTGGTTTTGATGTGCATTTCTCTGATAATGAGTGATATGGAGCATCTTTTCATGGGTTTGTTAGCCATCTGTATGTCTTCTTTGGAGAAATATCTGTTTAGTTCTTTGGCCCATTTTTTGATTGGGTCATTTATTTTTCTGGAGTTGAGCTGGAGGAGTTGCTTGTATATTTTTGAGATTAATCCTTTGTCTGTTGCTTCATTTGCTATTATTTTCTCCCAATCTGAGAGCTGTCTTTTCACCTTGCTTATAGTTTCCTTTGTTGTGCAAAAGCTTTTAAGTTTCATTAGTTCCCATTTGTTTATTTTTGCTTTTGTTTCTAATATTCTGGGATGTGGGTCATAGAGGATCCTGCTGTGATTTATGTCGGAGAGTGTTTTGCCTATGTTCTCCTCTAGGAGTTTTATAGTTTCTGGTCTTACATTTAGATCTTTAATCCATTTTCAGTTTATTTTTGTGTATGGTGTTAGAAAGTGTTCTAGTTTCATTCTTTTACAGGTGGTTGACCAGTTTTCCCAGCACCACTTGTTAAAGAGGTTGTCTTTTTTCCATTGTATATCCTTGCCTCCTTTGTCAAAGATAAGGTGTCCATAGGTTCGTGGATTTATCTCTGGGCTTTCTATTTTGTTCCATTGATCTATATTTCTGTCTTTGTGCCAGTACCATACTGTCTTGATGACTGTGGCTTTGTAGTATAGTCTGAAGTCAGGCAGGTTGATTCCTCCAGTTCCATTCTTCTTTCTCAAGATTACTTTGGCTATTAGAGGTATTTTGTATTTCCATACAAATTGTGAAATTTTTTGTTCTAGTTCTGTGAAAAATACCATTGGTAGCTTGTTAGGGATTGCATTGTATATGCAATTTGATTGTGCTAGGTATTTTGAAGATTACAGAGTTTAACATCTTATCCTTTGTATCTGGTAACTTAAGTAAATGAGACATATACTGAAAAGCTAGCAATAAACAGTGATAGTACTACTGAGATGATAAGACATTATAAGTAGCTTCTGACTTGCACAGTCCTTTACAAAGTCTGTTATATGTTTGCTGCCAAGCACAGACCTGATCACTGACTGGAATACTCTGTTTTTTTCCAGTCTTGTAGATCATGCACCAGCATATGGTCATTGAAGGCAAGCAGGAAAGAGGCAAAGGAAATAGCTCTTCCCACTCCCCTATGCCTTCATACACCCCTACCTATCACTCTTATCCACACAATGAAATGCTAGTGTAGATTCAGTGAAGAAACAGAATCACCACACATACACATTTATACGATGTCCTTTTTCAACTCACAACCTAAATGTGGTCTTCTGAAATTTTTCCTCATTAAAATATATATCCATTCTCACCAGGAATAAGGGTAAAATGATTCACTAAAATAAGAATGATTACTATAATTCTGATAAATAATTATATATATATATATGTATGTATAATTTTGCTAGGTAATTAAGCTGTATTTTGGTTATGTGCATATGTGTGTGCTTAGTCACTTCAGTCGTGTCTGAATCTTGGTGACCCTATGGACTGTAGCCCACCAGGCTCTTCTGTCCATGGGATTCTCCAGGCTAGAATACTGGAGTGGGTTGCCGTGCCTTCCAGGGGATCTTCCCAACCCAGGGATTGAACCTGGGTCTCCTGCTTTGCAGGTGGATTCTTTACCACTGAGCCACCAGGGAAGCCCATCTTAGTTAAGTATTGGGCCTAAAGCATAATGTGTTTTGTATGGTAATATTAGTAATATTCAAGCTAAAAAATAATTATAGTATATGATTTTCCGTTTTTAGAAAAACCTGAACTCTAGATACATTTTGTCTCTTTCCTAATTATTGCCCTTGAAATCTTACTGTTCACAACCAGTGACTGCCAATATCTCCTGTACTGATTTCATACCCATTTGTATTAATTTTGAAACATATAATTGGGATAGTTACAGTTCCAAGTTACTAAATTAAAAAACAATGCATGATTTTTTTCAGAAGAACTTTTTCATGTGAGCATTAAACCTTGCCAGTTCTTAACACTCAAATGAGAAAACAAGCCCAGAAAATATATCAGACTATCAGACTTATTCCTGTCAGTGTGAATCAGAGGATTTTTTTTTCCTATGGAGTAGGTGTAATTATTTAATGTTTCAAAATTGGAATGGCTTATAACTTGTTCTTTGCATAATATATTTTATTTTATTTTATTGCATAATATATTTTAGAACAAATCAGTCAGGAATTCTCACTATATTGGGTTGTAATATCTTATTGCTGATCTGATTATATACTTTTATTAGTTTAGATAAGAGGAATTCATTTCTAGAAGATAAAAAGGATTAAATCCAAATCTTCAGTTTAGTCCTATTAGAGTTTTCCTCTTGGCTTTTTTTTTTTAATTTTTTTCATTTATTTTTATTAGTTGGAGGCTAATTACTTTACAGTATTGTAGTGGTTTTTGTCATACATTGACATGAATCAGCCATGGATTTACATGTATTCCCCATCCCGATCCCCCCTCCCACCTCCTTCTCCACCCGATTCCTCTGGGTCTTCCCAGTGCACCAGGCCCGAGCACATGTCTCATGGCTTTTATTGAGTCCTCTCCTTTTCACATGTGATTATATGTTCTATCCTTTTTGTTATCAAGTGTATTATAGGAAGTTAAGTGTGTTCATCAACTAAATTTTGAGAATTAAAAAGAAATTCTTTTGTAATATTGCAGTATTTGAAATTCCTGGTAAGAAGTTCAACTTCTTCATCTTCTCTCAAAAGTCAGTCTAATATTTTACCTCGTAATAAATGTTCAGTCTCCGTCTAGGGTTAAGAAACCAAGAAAGTAGTCTGGGGATATGGAATAAAGTCCAAAAGCAGAAGTGATATATTAACCACACTGAAACCTTGCTGTTGAAACACCCTTCTGTCTCAGCAAGGTCTTTTATATTAGGAAAATAATGAACGCCAAGGCACGAGCAGCATACAAGGAAGCAATTCAGCAACCTTATTAAACTTAGGGATGAAGTTTCGAGAAAACAACTTGCTTCAGGTTGTCTGAGCTAGCAGAACTGACAAAGTGAGAAGTGCTAAAATCTGGCTTTTTTACTGATTCTACTCTATGTCTACAGTTTCCAGTGTATATTATTCAATTAAAATATTATTTTACCAAATTCCTTAGTGCAGTATCTGGTACATAATAGGTGTTGCTGAGTGAATGAATGAATGAGTGAATGAATATCATAGTGTGTAATAGATAAATTATATTCTGCCTTAGAAACTAAATATGTTAATTAAGTTGTACATAAATGATAAATGGACTTGATGACAGAACAATCAAGAGTTGAAGTGGTCTTTCAATTTAATTCCCTCTTTGTTTTTCATGTTATTTATATCTGAAAGGAATATCATATAAATGGTCCTCTTGAAAGAGCGTTATATCCAAGAAATAGACTATATTTTGTATTTGTTAACTTTTTAGCAAAATTTATTTTAAGCTTACCTTCCACCAGTAGTGAGGAGTGGTTCAGTCTCTAAATGTTCTTATTCTCATGAATTTGACTTAACTTAAATTTATCACTGAAATTAAAAGGAATATTTGTTTGTTTAAGAGCATTTAGGAAAAATAGAAAAAGTATAAAGAAGATAATTAAAAGTCTCATTAATTCCAGCAACAGAGAAAACTATTTTTAATACTTTGAAGTAAAAGTTTATTTTGAAGGTGAATTTTAGTTCATTCCTCACTTTAATAAGATTTATCTTTTGGACATTCAGTTTATGTTTTCTAGGTGGCTGTTTGATTTTTACAGTTAATTAAGCTATTAATCTGCTTCTTTGTACTGAATTACCTGATTTCATTAGTTTATAGGTCAGTTGTGTTTATCTCATTGTTTCTTTAGCAGGTCAAGAAAACTCCAGTGGTGCCTTCGTAGCAAGAGCCAGAAAAACTATAAGTGATAAATGGGAAAGTCAGCTGTGGAGAGAGAAGAAGTTCGGCTTGATAGATCACCTGCATTACAGCCAGGTTTATCCTGAAAGTATTCCACGAAAATTTAGTTTCGAGCACAGACATTTTCTTAGTCAACTGTTTAATTCTCAGCCTGCAAAATACATACCACCAGAAGGAAGGGTCCCAAAACTTGATAAATTTAAGAGCGTCCGAAGCCTTGGACATTTTGAATTAACCATCTTAGGTAAGTCACCTGTTCTTTTCTTTGAATGTTACTGTCTCCTTGTGCTTTGTTGCTCAGTCATGTCCGACTCTTTGTGAGCCCATGGACTGTAGCCCGCCAGGGTCCTCTGTCCATGGAGATTCTCCAGGCAAGAATACTGGAGTGAGTTACCATGCCTTTCTCCAGGGGATCTTCCCAACCCAGGGATCCAACCCAGGTCTCCCACATTGCAGGTGGATTCTTTACCATTTGAGCCACCAGGAAAGCCCTTGTTAATGTTATTTACTTGACATAATCTAAATACAGATGATACTATTTTGCTTAAAAAAAAACTAAACACTCCACCTCCACCCACCCAAAAAAAAATGTTAAACCCAAAGAGAGCTCCTGTTTGGCTCAAACCAAAGGAATGGGAACACATCCTAGAATACATGAAGCTTTAATTGTGGGCTTTTAAATATTGGCAAATCCTTGGAAAGTATTTGAGGAGAGAAGAGTAGGAACCAAGGGAACTTTTCTATCCCCTGACTGACTCTCTTTAAAACCGATTTTCTTCTCCTTTAGACACCACTTTCTTGCTCATATTCTCTGCCTTTCTCAGTGCATCTGAACCATTGAAGGGTAAAATGTCAGTTAAAGAGAAAGGGATAATAAAGAGAAGATCCTATGAACTTCTGTCTGTTTAGCCTGTGAAGAAAATAAAATTCTCAAGTAACTTAGGTTGAAAAGAAAGAAGCTACTGAAAAAAACTGTCTTGTCTTTTCTCCTTTTTTGGCCATGCCGCACAGTATGCAGGATCTTTATTCCCTACCAGGGATTGAAACCGAGTCCCCTACAGTGGAAGCTCGAAGTCTTAACCACTGGACCACCCAAGAAGTCCCAAAACTATATTGTCTGATAAGTGACAATAAACTTATTTTCTCAGGTTGTTCTAAACTGACATGTAGCTATGGAACTTATAAAAATTTAAAGTCAACACATTTTTAAACTTCATTTTTAAATTTTGTTTCTCGTGAGTGAAAAATGTACACAAAAATTAATTATAAAATAAAATCTTAGCCAAAGTGAGACTCTCTAGATCAAGGGAAATTTTTTATTTGTACTTGAAAGGAAGATCTGATTAACTTAAGTGAAAGAATGATGAAATGCTATTAGCAAATTAATTTAATGCCTGAAAGAAAATGCATTTCACGATTTTTATATCTCTAGTACTGGAATGAATTACCTTGACCTTTATCAAGATTCCTTTTTCCCCTTTACTCTCTCCCACTCTTCTTCCCTACCTCCTCACATATAAATATTACATCCATGTGATTGTGTATATGTATATAATTTATGAAAAGTATGAATTCCCACTGACTGTTAACAGATCTAAGTTTCAAATGCTTCTTTTTACTAGACTGCATTGCTTGGTCTCTTAGGGTAGTTTATCAATCTTAGTTTTATATCCAGGAAACAAAAATTACAGCAGAGATTTCCCATATATCACAAGAATTAGCCATGAAAATCATGAGTTCATTTGGAGTCATAGAACTTGAATATTTTTCTTCTTTTCAACATGTTACTGATCCTCTAAACATTTCAGCTATCTTATGTATCACCTAAAAGCAAGATTCAGACGTAAAGGAGGCTAATTTATTGTTACACCTAACCAGCTGTAATTCATGTTAGAATTGGACTGTTTTCTATCCTACCATTTTTCAAGGACGTAAGTGGATTTACAGGGATAAAAACATTGAAAAATAAGCTATATGTGGATTAAATAAAACAGAACGTTTAAAATAAAACAGAAAAAGTAAGTATTACTGCTGCTGCTGCTGCTGCTGCTGCTGCTAAGTCGCTTCAGTCGTGTCCAACTCTGTGCGACCCCATAGACGGCATCCCACCAGGCTTCCCCGTCCCTGGTTACCAGCATTCAGTAGTAATTTTCTGTGAGTTTTCTTACAGGAAGGGAGAAAAGGGATTGTTCCTGATGAGGTACTTAATTTTAAAGATAAAAGAAGTCTGGATATCTTCTAGTCTTACCTACTAGATAGGTAAAAGTCAGGCCATGATTAGAAATCATGTCTTCCCTTACCCTTATAATGTCCCTCCCCCCTCTCTCTTCCCTCTTCCTATAACTAGTTTGTTCTCTATATCTGTGAGTCTGCCTCTTTTTTGTTATGCTCACTAGTTTGTTTTATTTTTTAGATTCACATATAAGCAATATCATGTAGTATTTGTCTTTCTCTGTCTGACTTATTTCACTTAATATAAGCTCCCTGCAAGTCCATCCATGTTGCTGCAAATGGCAAATTTTTATTCTTTTTTATGGCTGAGTAGTCTTCTATTGTGCATGTATACCACATCTTCTTTATCCATTCATCTGTTTATGGTCCCTTATGTTGCATCCACATCTTGGCAGTTATCAATAATGCTGCTGTGAACATTGGGCTGCATGTATCTTTTCAAATTAGTGGGTTTTTTAATATATATATAGCCAGGAGTCATATGGTAGCTCCATTTTTACTTTTTAATGATGGCTGATCTGACAGGTGTGAGGTGATACTTCATTGCTCTGCTGTTTTAGTGTGAAAGCAGTCATAGACAATGTGTAAATGAATGTGCCTGACTATGTTTAACTAAAACTTTATTTATAGACAGTTAAATTTGAATTGCATGTAATTTTCATGTATCATGAAATGTTTTTTTTTTTCCAACCATTTAAAATGAAAAGTGTCCTAGGCCATGGATCCTTCGAAACCAGGTAGAGGCTACATTTGATCCCTGCCCCAGCTCGTAGTTTGCTGACCCCTATTCTAGATCCCTGTTTTCAGATATAACTAGCTAAACCAATGAAGGCAGATAAGTCTGAATGATTTTTAAAGTTCTTCTGACATGAAGACTGTCCAACCTACACTGATGCTATCTTTTAGTAGTTTATTATCCTTCAGCTTTATCTTACTGATCTCTGGAGGACCTAGTAATTTTGAAGTATCTTATTCTGGGAGCCAGAAAGTTTATTCAGACCATAATCCCATTACTTGGTCGTTAGCTTTAACTGGTCTAGGGTGAATCATTATTGAAAATACTGCACGGAATTATTAATCTTCTTCCCACAATTCAAATGGCTCCCAGCAACCAATTGGGTACTGTGGCAATATCAGAAACCTATCCCAAAAGTACCAATTCTTGTGTTAATAATTCTCGTTATGCCATCTCATTTGACTCAAATAAGTAGATAGTATGTGTTAAAATCTCAGCCCATTGCCTATTACATAATAACACACTTCAAAGAGAAGATATTTGAATGAAGTAAGGTGAAATTTTCAATGTGTTTAGTGCAAGTATAAGCTTTTTAGTCTGTTGGTCAATTTTAAGAATTATTTCTCACTTAAAATATAAGGAGATACTTCTCAAAAGCTTGATTGGACTCAGAGATGGCATTAGTACATCATTGATTCTGCAAACACTAATTTATTAATAGTTGCCCATGAAATGCTATGAGTCAATTAAAGCTTAAGTGTTCTCTCTTCAATTTGCATTTGACTTAGACAGTAAGGAAAATAATTACTCAGCCAACCTTTAGTAAACCTCTGAAAGCCATCTGTTTATCTCTTGGATATCAAGAGATACAAACTCCAGTAACAGTAGGTGTAATTTAAGGAGAGTGTTAAGATAGTGTTTTCTTGACTTTTTAATCAAGATTTTTTGTCAAAAAATTTTGTATCATTCTTTTCCTTTTCTGAAAAATGCATTTAAATCATCACAAATTGTAAGTAAGTAATTGCATTAACTGTAACATCAAAGTAATGTAATATGTTGTAGTTACATGGAAATCATAAGGCTTTACTTATCTTGATTTTTTTCTCCTATTAAAGCAACCAAACAAAGCAACATAATTCCTACCCTCCTTGGTACTAGCTTGCAGGCTCAGGACCAATTATTTGTATCCCTGAGGTATGCCTCCTTCCATGTTGAAGCCTACTTGAACCATTAAAATCTGAGTAGAACTGGATTCCCTCACTCTTGGTTTCTTCACTGGCTGTATCCTCAGGATATCCTATTCCACTGACATGCTTCTCATTCTTGTATCTCAAATGGAGCAGCACACTGGATTGTATGGGTTACTGTTGCTACCCCTTAATTCTGTCCCATATTCCATTGCATAATAAAAGTAATTTAATCCTTAAACCTTAAGTACCTACTATCAGATTTCATCAGTGTAAGACACACTTTTTTCCCCATATGTTAACATCTTTTAAAATGGATATGGATCTTATAATCGATGCCATGCCTTTGTTTAATTGGTAGTATTTTTTTCCTTAGTGGTGTATAAAATGATCATCTTAAAAAACAATGATGTCTTAGATTTCATAAAATATAGCATATACCAAGTACTATGCTAGGTGGTGGGATCCTACCCAACACATACACACACAAACACACGGACTTTCATTGGAAAAGGAATACAGTGATAACGAAGAATTTGAGAGGAAGATATATAAATTGCATACATACACTTTACAAATGAGGAATATGAGCTTATTTGTTTGATTTTCTATTTCTCTCTAATTTTTAATATAATCCACATATATTGCCACACTTACCTAGGTAGTATGTTGTGAGTTACCTAAGTAACACATAAATTGTCACCATTGAAGTGCATTATACCTGTACATTGTGGGGAGGATATTGTGTTCACCTCTTTTGCTATTGTGAATATGGATGAATTTATATTTGAATACAATGCACAAATGTCCTAAAGTCTAACTAGTTGAAAATTGTACATTGAAATGTGCACGTTACATTCTTTTACTCAATTTCACACAAATATTTACTGAGCACCTAAGGCATGCTCAGTGCTGTTCTGGGGACTGAGGTTACATGAGTTAATGCAAAAGATAACAGTCCTGTGGTGAAATGAGATATGGTGATCAATGTTGAAGAGTGCTGTCATTGGAAATGGCTAAATTTTAAATGGAGTGGTCAGGGAGGTCTCCCTAAGAAAATAACATTTCACCAGACACCTAACGGAGGTGAAGGAGCAAGCCGTGTGTTTATCTGGGGAAAGAACATTCTATGTACAGGAACATCAGGTTCAGGGGCCTTGGGCATATTTACTTATACATTTGCACTCTGAACTCTAGTTTTAGCCAAACAACTCATGACAAATTTTACCAGTAATGTTGAAGCTATCACAGTATTCTATAATTTAGAAAGCAACTCATAATAGTATCAATGACAGAATGATAATAAAGCTATCTTCCTAAAAATCAAGGTTTCCAACTTGATATTTTCTCAATTCTAAAGCACTCTTTCTCTTATTTTACATTTGCAAGTTGGAATGCATCTTATGGTTAATGGGTACATTTAATGCAGTGTTTTCTTTTTATTGAAAACCCATTATTAAATTGATGGTATGCCTTAGATTTGGTATTAGAATCAAGGAAATAGGATACCAGTATGTGCACACTGACATGAGTTTTGCAGCATTGCTGAGTTATAAGGGAGTTATAATACTGAATTGGAATCCACAGTAAATTCTAGATTGTATGACTATTTTAGTTTATGAATACCAGATTTTAATAATCCTTTAAAAGTTTTAAGTAGCCCTTAGTTGTTTATTAAGTTAAAGCTGTGGAACTTAGTGTTGTTTACCCATAAAAAACAAAGAACGGACTTGCGTTTCTGGATCAGTTTACAGCTTAACTGGAAGGACTTGTTTACATATCGTTGGTTCATGCTCTATACTTAAGAATTGCTATGGGATGAATAGGGTAGATACTGAAGTCATAGAATCTATAGGACTTGCTGACTAAATATCAGGGAAGAATGAAAGGGAAGAGTTAAGGATAACTTCTAAGTTTCTGGTTTTAGTGTCTGGGTGGAATTCAGAGTTTTCAAGCTGTGCTCTGCATATTTTTCCTTGATCCAGTCAAGATGGTTTCCTTACTCTGTCCTGTACTTTTGGCTTCTCCCTGTCCTACCTGAAATACCCTTCTCTCTGTTTATTTAAATGCTACTCATGCTTGAAGACCCAGCTGAAACCCTTGCCTGTCAGAAGTCTTTTTTTAATCCACCCTAGTTGACACTGACCCTCATAAAGAAACAACAGACATAGGTCAGGATGCATGGTGGTGATTCCCCCAAGCTGCAACCTTTTCTAGCCCTAATGGTGAGTGACTGAAATTTTTCTTGTATGTTTGAGGACAAATGGAACCTTGGTACTTCCATCCCTGGCCTTGCTTGAGTCTTATACCATAAGTCCAAAATGGCAGTAAGAAAACCAGTAGTTATCTCTGAATTCTCTTGTCCTGTAATGGCATCTATCATAAATGATGATGAAAATTCTCTACATGTCTTCATTTTTGTGACTAGGCTGTTCTCTAGATATTAAAATTTAAGCCGTCCATCAATATGTAAAAGATTTGGGACTGTTACTTCCAATGATGATGCTAGATTACTCCAAAGTGTCTGCCCTTTCAATCAGTAGAATGTATTCATGAGCATTTGCACAGCAAAGGGTTTAGTCTCTTAGTTTTGAAAGTTATTTTTTTACAGTTATGAAGCTATCTGGCACATGTGAGGATCAGACCATCAGATCTGGCCTCATTAGCACCATGTTACTAACTACACTTTTAATAATGTGTGATTTTTCTATAACAGGTCTGAACCATGAGAGAGCAATTGATGTGGCTTTCCTCCCCATGTATTCTCTACAAGATATCCGAACATCTCAAGTAGACACATTATTAACCTGCATGAATTATAGCTGTGTGTATCCACAGGCATCAACTGCCACTGAAAACGTGACAGGTTCAAGAGTACTTGCAGGTAAGACAATCTCAGGATCTATGCAGTCAGAAAATTAATTAATAATGCAAATGGTCCTAACCTTAAGATGTTACTATATAAACAGTTCTAGCTTTAACGTTTGATACAGTTTAAAGAGTTATTTGGTAAAAGTACCCAAAGATAAATGAGAACATATTTTAAAATAAAATTGGATAGATTAATGGTTTCTATTCCAGGCTGGCATTAAGAATATTCTTTTATAATACATTTTTAAATGTAAGTGTTTGCTAAACCGAAGTGGTATGCATATGGAACAGTGCAGCTTCTACTCTTCTCTCCTTTTAATTCAGGCAAGACAGTTTGTCCTTTCACCTTATAATTGCCTGAAATCTCAGTGCCTCCATACTGTGTGCTTAGTCACCCAGTTGTGTCCGATTCTTTGTGGCCCCATGGACTGTAGCCTGCCAGGCTCCTCTGTCCATGGTTATTCTCCAGGCAAGAATACTGGAGTGAGTTGCCATGCCCTCCTCCAGGGGATCTTTCCAACCCATGGATAGAACCCAGGTTTCCCGCATTGCAGGCAGATTCTTTACCATCTGAGCCACCAGGGAAGCCCAGGAATACAGGAGTGGGTAGCCTATCCCTTCTCCAGGGGATCTTCCTGACCCAGGGATCAAACTGGGGTCCCCTGCATTGCAGGTGGATTCTTTACCAGCCGAGCTACCAGGGAAGTCCCATACTATAGTACAATACAATTGTTTTCTCTTATAATTACTTAGTTATTCAAGTGCTATGCAATAAATTCCTTGAGGACTGCTAAGCATGTGTGTAATCCCAATAGTGAAACCCTTCAACCAACGAATTGTTTAGGCTGCTATATAACATCCTGAACTTTAAATCATTTTTATATATGAGTAAAATTATGTGTCCAATTATACTTATCCTATTCACTTTCTTCTGTCATTTCTATTTCCTAAGCATGTGGTAAAGTTTCTAGCCATTTTCATTGAGCTTATATGAATATTCCCTTTAAAAAAGCACTAAAGAAAGGCCTTATTATCTTGGGATTTTGTGGTGGGTCTTTCTAAGCTGATGAAATTCTTGAGTGTATGTTGTTTTTAAACAAGTCTTAGCAGTTGTGCCTGATGATGAAGTAACTTTTGGCAGTAATGGTTACTACAAACTGAACTTCCCTGGTGGCTTAGATGGTAAAGAAACTGCCTGCAATACAAGAGACCCAGGTTCAATCCCTGGATTAGGAAGATACCTTGGAGAAGGGCATGGCAACCCACTCTAGTATTCTTGCCCAGAGAACTCCGTGGACAGAGGAGCCTGGTGGGCTACAGTCCATGGGGTCACAAAGAATCGGACACAACTGAGCAACTAACACTTCACTTCAAACTGAACTTAAGGATCCAATTTTGTAAGAGGTTCTTTATTTTTCCCACAGTCCATTTTAAAGATGATATAACTTGCAGTATTACTTCTTACGGGGTTTCCCAGGTGGCTCAGTGGTAAAGAATCCGTCTGCTAATTCAGGAAACACAGGAGATGTGAGTTTAATCCCTGTGTCAGGAATATTCCCTGGAGGAGGAAATGGCAACCCACTCCAGTGTTCTTGCCTGGGAAATCCCATGGACAGAGGAGGCTGGCAAGCTGCAGTCCATGGGGGTCACAAAAAGTCAGGCGCAGCTGAGCATGCACACACATTACTTCTTACATTTCAGCTCCTTAGACTGTCAGTGACTCCAGATTTGGTAATTAGGGACCTAATCTGTACTTTAAATGTTTGTGGAACTCTTGCTCTTGTTTCATTGCAGTATCTTGTTTGCAGTATCCACTTCTGTCACGTTTCTTCTGCTGTCTGTGTATGTTATTAACGATATAAAAAAATGAAGACAAAATTCACAGTTACCCACTACTTGCTAGTGCCAGCGTTCTTCCAGCAGTCACTAAATATGATCATGTCAGAATACCTGGTACCATTCTACCAGAGCAGTTAATATTTGGGACATGAAGGGCAAGAATCTCTAGAAGAGAGAAGTGATATAATCAAAAGCAAGGTAATTCATTTCAAACATGGAATACCATATTTTTCATGGCATAATGATAGTGTCCATTTAGCTCTGTGCAAAGCATTGTGCCTGGACATTTTACATAAGTTACAACTAATCCTAACAAGAGCCTTGCAAGGTAAACATTGTTATCCCCTGTTGATAGATGATTAGACTGAAGATCAGAGAGTTTCATCAGCATAGATAACAGCTAGGATTTGAACACAGATCAATTTGATTCGAAACATTTCCATTCTCTCTAATTACAAATGAAAAGATAACTATACATGAGACAGCAAAAGAGACACAGATATAAAGAACAGACTTTTGGACTCTGTGGGAGAAGGCAAAGGTGGGATGATTTGAGAGAATAGCATTGAAACATGTATATTACCATATGTGAAATAGATGACCAGTCCAAGTTCGATGCATGAAACAGGGCACTCAAAGCCGGTGCACTGGGACAACCCAGAGGGATAGGATGGGGAGGGAGGTGGGAGGGGGGTTCGGGATGGGGGACACATGTTCACCCATGGCTGATTCATGTCAATATATGGCAGAAACCACCACAATATTGTAAAGTGATTAGCCTCCAGTTAAAATAAATTAATTTTTTAAAAAATATACAGAATAATGTAATGCAGTGGCTTACAGTATAATATTGGTATCATTTTTTCAACATTTTTATGAACTAGTTTTTTTATTATAAAAGCTATCCATGTTCATAATTTAAAAATTCAAACAATACCAAAAGGTATAGGGTAAAACTGAAAGTTTCCCTCCCTGCCTTTGAAGGTTCATCCCTTTCTACCAGCCCATTCACTCTCTGGAGATAACCTGTATTTGAATGCTTTAAGAAATTATTTTTACATATGACAGTATATTCTCTCTGTCTCACATACACGCATGCACACGCACACATACAGTCTGTTTCTCTCTCTCTTACATACATACATGGAATTATACTAAACATGGTTTCATAACCAACTTTTATCTTTTAACACTTGAATAGCTTTCATGTTAGTATCAATATATAGAGAGCTACCTCTTTTGTTTTAGTAGCTATAAATATTCCACTGTGTAGCTATACCAGTATTTACTTAATTAGTCCCGTATTGATGGACATTTAGATTGTTTCCAAATGTTTTTTATACTGGCAAACAGTACTGCTATGAGTATCTATATCTATCTGTGTGTGTGTGTGTGTATGTTGTTGTTGTTCAGTTGCAAAGTTGTGTCTGACTCTTTTGTGACCCCGTGGACTGTACCCTGCCAGGCTCCTCTGTTCATGGAATTTCCCAGGCAAGAAGACTGGAGTGGGTTGCCATTTCCTCCTCCAGGAGATCTTCCTGGATTAGGGATTGAACTCGCGTTTTCTGTGTTGACAGGCAGATTCTTTACTGTTGAGCCACCAGGGAAGCCCCATGTGTATGTATATATAATCTATAATCTTTGTGCACTTATATATCTGTAAGATGAATTCTTCAGTTCAGTTCAGTCCCTCTGTTGTGTCCAACTCTTTGTGACCTCATGGACTGCAGCACGCCAGGCCTCCCTGTCCATCACCAACTCCGGGAGTTTACTCAAACTCATGTCCATTGAGTCAGTGATGCCATCCAACCATCTCATCCTCTGTCATCCTCTTCTTCTCCCACCTTCAATCTTTCCCAGAATCGGGGTCTTTTCAAATGAGTCAGCTCTTCGTATCATGTGGCCAAAGTATTGGAGTTCAGCTTCAGTGTCAGTCCTTCCAGTGAATATTCAGGACTGATTTCCTTTAGGATGGACTGGTTGGATCACCTTGCAGTCCAAGGACTCTAAAGAGTCTCCTCCAACACCACCATTCAAAAGCATTAATTCTTCAGCACTCAGCTTTCTTTATAGTCCAACTCTCATATCCATACATGACTACTGGAAAAACCATAGCTTTCACTAGACAGACCTTTGTTGGCAAAGTAATGTCTCTGCTTGTTAATATGCTATCTAAGTTAGTCATAACTTTTCTCCCAAGGAGTAAGCATCTTTTAATTTCATGGCTGCAGTCACCATATGCAGTGATTTTTTAGCCCCAAAAATAAAGTCTGTCACTGTTTCCACTGTTTCCCCATCTATTTGCCATGAAGTGATGGGACCAGATACCATGATCTTAGTTTTCCGAATGTTGAGCTTTAAGCCAACTTTTTCACTTTCCTCTTTCACTTTCATCAAGAGGCTCTTCAGTTCTTCTTCACTTTCTGCCATAAGGATGGTGTCATCTGCACATCTGAGGTTATTGATATTTCTCCTGGCAATCTTGATTCTAGCTTGTGCTTCATTCAGCCCAGTGTTTCTCATGATGTATTCTACATATAAGTTAAATAAGCAGGGTGACAATATACAGCCTTGATGTACTCCTTTCCCTATTTCTTAGATGTCACCAAATTTAGAATTTTGGTATAAGTGAAAAGTTAAAGTGTTAATCACTCAGTCGTGTGACTCTTTGTGACCCACGGACTGTAGCCATGAGGCTCCTCTATCCAAGGGATTTCCTGGGCAAGAATACTAGAGTGGGTTGCCATCTCCTTGTCCAGGGGATCTTCCCAACCCAGGGATCGAACCTGGGTCTCCTGCATTGCAGGCAGATTCTTTACTGTCCAAGTCATCAGGGAAGCCCAAAATTTTGGTAGGTATTTTCAAAATGTCCTTCAAAAAGGTTATAACGATTCACACTTCAACCAAAAGAAAGAATGCCACTTGACTCACTCCCTTAAAAATACTAGATAGTATCAGTCTTGTTAATCTTTGGCAGATGATAGGCAAAATGTATCATTATTTTCATTTGTGGTTCTGAATTATTTCTAAGGTTCAATATCTTCATATATTTATTGGCCATTTATATTTTTCTGTGAACTTTCTAGAACTTTCCATGCTAGTTTTTTCCATTTTTCTATGAGTTCTTTTTTTAACTAATTTGTAATTTCTTTCTGCATATTGAAGAAATTTAAC